GCGCGCGGCGGCGGTGCGAGCGGCGCACTTGTACACGTGGTGGAAGGCGTGCTGGCCGAGCCGCTTCCCCACGCTCCACTTGTGCAGCAGGTAGTAGTGGTCCACGAAGATGATGAACTCGAGCAGCAGAAAGTAGGCGGCGCAGCCGAGCAGCGCACGCGCCGGCCCGCCGCAGTCGTCGATGCCACCGCACGCCTGCGACCAGCCCTTCACCTGGAAGAAGTCGGTCAGCAGCGGCACCGTCACGTACAGCGGGAAGGCCGCGTGCGACACCTGCCGGCGGCGAGCTACGGCTCGGCTCTCTATGACGCCGGCGCCGGGCGGCGGGTGCGGGCGGTGGGCTTCGCGGCTTGAGAGCGCGCGCCTCGATCATATTGTCGACCAGCTTCTGCGGCACGGCACTCGTCGGTGCGTCGGGGTACCACCTCTCGCAGAAGGCCCGAACGCCCGGAGCAAAGATGTGGTAGAAGATGTGGATCAGCGCATAAAAGGCGCACCAGCAGACGAGCCGCCCGCACAGATCCGAGAGGAGGGATCCCTCGCTGCCAAAAACGAAGGAAAGTGTCTCGGGCGCTATGCCCGCGTGCAAGAGCGCAGGTCCGAGGAGGACCTGCAGCAGTGGAGTGTGGCTGGGCATTCCGGCGGCCAAGGTCGAGCGTGCGGGTCGCCGTGGAAGAGAAATTTTCCCGTTGCTTCAAGATCCTCCTCCTCCCTCCCCTGCTGCTGCTGCTGCTGCTCGTGCTCTGCACCCCCTTTTAGGTACGCACGTCGCACCGGGGTACACCGCACACACACACCGTCACCGACGCGCGACAGCTCCAGCCTCTATCCACCACTCGCCCCCGACTCACAGCTCTGCACAGCTCCCAGCTCACAGCTATGAGTCGACAGTCATCATTGCACTGGCACAAAGTCAAAGCCGAAGAGGCCGCTCGCCGACCCTTCCGCCGTGCTGCCCGCCAGCGGTGGCGCCGGGGCCGCGCCTCTCGCCTGGCCGCGCCGTGAGCGGGCGGTGGGGGCTCGCGCGGACGCACCTGACGCCTGAGACGCCGAGCGCGCGCTGTTCCTAGCGGGCAGCGCATGCTCCTGCGTTTGATCGCACCACAGACACTGCACGTGCAGGCGGCGCCGCCGCGCCGCCGGCTTGCGCGGCCGTGAGCGCACAGCGGCATGCGCGTTGACGCCAGGCACGAGGATTGAGCCGCAGTCGCCGCAGAGCCGCTGGTGGAGCCGCTGCGGTAGCTTCATGTTTGCACCTCGCGCGAGCCGCAGCAGCTCGAGCACGAGATGCCGAGAGAGCTCCGGCGCCGTCGACGCGTGCGCGTGAGCACTCTGCAGGAGGAAGCGCAGCCGGGCCGTGTTGGCCGACTTATCGGCCGCCGCATCGTCCGCCGCCGAGGCGGCCGAGGCAGAGGCGGCCGCCGCTGCCGCCGCTGCCATTGTCAAAAAAGAAAAACTGCACGCGAAAGACGAGAGGGCAGCTATTCTAATAGGAGGGTTCCAAGCGAACCAGTTTAGACCAGTTTAGACCACTGCTAAACACGAACCAGATTAGTCCTGTTTACGATAAACTGGGTCTAAACCTGGTATGGCTAATGGGGTTCCTCCCCCCCTCCCCCCCGCGTAGCGCGCACCTCCCCCCCGCCTAGCTCCCCTGCTCTGAGAGAGACGCGGCTCTCAGCGCGGCACGCGCAAGCGTCAGCGGCCTTGCTTCTTCTCGCGCTGGTCGAGGACGAGGTTGTGCATGGCAATCTTGACCGTCTCGAGGGTCCACGCCGGCGGCTCTTCCGACAGCTTCGCCGTGGGTGTCGAAGATCTGCTTGCAGAAGCCCCAGCGCGTCCCCTCATCTTTCGCGCGGTACGTCGGGAGCGAGGCCAGGAACATCGCCTGCAAGCATTTGGTGAGGGGCAGTGAGTACCACTGCTCAACCCAACACCACTTCTACTAGCGAGCGCACCTTTCGGCCGGGTTGAAATCCACGCGCTTCCGCTTCTTGCCAGGCGCAGGCGCCGCCAGCTGGTCTGTCGCCGCGCCCGACGTCGCGCCCTAACACCGTGCGCCTGACCGGCGAGGCTGTTGTTGCGCGGTGCAAGTGTGCCAGGTGTGCTGTCCGGCCCGAGGCAGAGGATGGCGGCTGCACGCTGCCGCTTCCGCAGCCAGCGCGGCCGCGACCGACGGCGGAGCTCTAGGGGCGCCCTAAACCGGGCTAAACCTGGTATGGCTAATGGGGTCCCCCACCCAGGCCGAGCCCTGTTTAGACCCAGTTTATCGTAAACAGGACTAATCTGGTTCGTGTTCAGCCGTGGTCTAAACTGGGTCTAAACATGGTCTAAACTGGTTCGCTTGGAACCCTCATTCTAATGAGCCGGCCAGCGCCGAAAGGGTTCGCACCTCAGACCAGAGAAGAGAGGT